TTGTAATTGTTTGTGAAATTTGCTAGCAGTTTCTGAGTGAAACCTATTTCTACATCAAATTAAGTATAGGTTAATGTTAATTTCTGCGTATACATTAATACGTTAATTTATAAATAATTATAATGTATTATGTAAAGTATTGTAAACTAACATAACAATAAACAATAGTATATAAATATTCACATTTTATTATTTAATAAATTCATTTTAATATATTTAATATCAATACAGCAATTAATAGAAATTTGTTAAAATAATGTTATTTATGCATTAAACCTATATTAATACAGTAATATACTGTTGTTCATTGTTAATTCATGTTCATTCATTTGTTAAGGATTTCTATTGCATGTGCTAGTGTTAACAAATTGAACTCGCAAAGTGTTACCATTTATTACACCAATCATTAAATTGTCTCCTTAGTTTCAATGAAGTTAAAGCTATTTTTGCTAGGTGCTTGAAATGTCACTAACTATTTATTTATTTATTTTATAAATGGTAGCTTGACTAGTTTTAGTACTTTAAATCATCAGTTCATTGTAGCTTGGTATACTGCAGTTTAAAGTAGCTTTCCAAAACTTGGTTAGTATTCCCACCAATCCTTTGGAATTTGTTGTGCATACTCACTATGAGGAGGAGTCATTGTCCAGGATCATATCATAACGCCCTCACAACATACAGGATAGAAGTTACTTGTGCTGTAGGCATCAGAGCACGTAGCGGTAGGTGGTTTTTATACATCTGCACCACAAGATGATTTATGACATATGATTGCATGTTTTTCCATTGCTGTTTTCCTTATTCCATCACCTCTTCTCACAATTAGTCTGGGTTTGTAGCATTTTAATGGTGTTATTGCGTTACTGTCTTTTGAAAGTGATTTGCGTGCAATTTACTCATCTATTTGTATTTGGTGACCTCACCCTTGAATTAATGCTGTGTGGTTTTTTACTTTTTATTTTTTAAGACCGTAAAGAATGTTAAAATTCAGATTGGCTGATTGCTTTGTAACTGGCATGACCTCAATCATTTTAGGGGCCTGTAAGCGCACAGTGCATGTTGATATTTTTCTTATATTTGTGGTTAAGTTCTGAATGTTAACTTGAGATTTCTGAGTGATATTCATGTGGTGTTCATGTTACGGCTGTGTTTGAATTGTAGGGTGTGTTTATACCAGTGTAATGTGAGTGGGTTATGGGGGTCTGTGGCTAACATTGGCTTTATTTCAGAGGGCAGAATAAAAGATGTTGCTGTTTCCCAGGCAGTTTCTGTTACTGGCTTTCTCGATCCATTGCTTCTGGTCCACTTCATTTAGGGTTTTCACTATATGGACAAGACATAAAGTGCTTATGAGCAATGCTGTGCAAATACCAATCTAGTGATCACCAAACCAGTTTTCACATCACATCTTATGAAGGACTATCTCATCATTGTCTGATGAAACAATTTGAGAAACTATTTCAGATTGAAGCACCTAGTAGCTGTAACTTAACCATATGAACCCAATAGGCATCTTACTCCATTGATGGCCAGAACGGGTTCAGTTTAAAGTTTCTGCACAAGGTACATTGTTATTGACATTTGAGGTGTGTGAATCTTTTCAGAGAGCCTAAAAACAACATACAACAGCAGAATAGTATGGTAAATGTAGCTCAACTTGTTGATCGGCATGGGTTTTTCATAAACCACAGGAGAAACCAGATCTAGCGGGCTCAGCCTAGAGCCTACATGGCGGGAAGGTTGTAGACTTGGGTGGCATGCCATTTAGTAAATGGTTTATTATGACCATGAAACCATCATTTGGAGTTTGGCATGGGCATTTAGAGATCTGGCCCTGGAATTCAGAAGTACATACTTTACTGTTGAAAGAGTTCATATGAGGCTGCTAGAACATGGTAGATGTATGTTGACTTTCAAAGGAGGATTACTTTCTATTTTCCATTTAACAGAAGTGCAGTTATTTAGTTCTTTTTCGTACAGTGAAAGTGGATGGGGACTGGGTTTGTTAAGCTCCAGAAATGGGTAAAAACACCAATAAAAGTGCTTTAAAGTAGTCCATATGATATATTTGGGGTTGATTAGGCTATATTATAAATAGTGCTGTCAAACAATTAATGGCATCCAAAATAAAAGTTTTTGTTTACAATAATATATATGTGTGTGTGTGTGTATTCTGTTAAGCTCCAGAAATGGGTAAAAACACCAATAAAAGTGCTTTAAAGTAGTCCATATGATATATTTGGGGTTGATTAGGCTATATTATAAATAGTGCTGTCAAACAATTAATGGCATCCAAAATAAAAGTTTTTGTTTACAATAATATATATGTGTGTGTGTGTGTGTATTCATTGTGTATATTTATTATGTACATATTTTGAAAATATTTACCTGTATTTACATGTATATATTTATATTCATATAATTTATATCATATATAAATATATTTATTATATAAACGTAACATATTTTTCTTAAATATATACATGCGTGTGTGTATTTATATGTACATAATAAATATACACGGTACACGCATATATTATGTAAACAAAAACTTTTATTTTGGATGCGATTAATCACGGTTTGACAGCACTAATTATAATGTTTTTGAAGAATTCTCTTATGTTCACCAAGACTGCATTTATTTGATCAGAAACACAATGAAAACAGTAATATTGCAAAATATTACTGCAATTTAACATAATTGTTTTCTTTTTTTAAATATTATAATATTATTTATTCTTTACTGTCACTTCTGACACATTTTTGAACAAAAAAAGCAAAAACAAAACCTTACAGACTCTACACTTTTGTTAAGGCTTTTCAAATCATCATAGGATAAGTTCTGTACAACAGCAGACATTTATTAGGTTAAAATATTTCAGATTGTGCACGTATTCAAACATGGTGCTTCTAGACACTTTCAACCTGGTTTCACATCAAACATCATTGGTTCTTGTGTGTTTTATGAGTTTATTATTAATGCAAATATTAGTGCTGGGCGGTATGACCAAAAATTTATATCACGGTATTTTTCAAAATTAAACCGCTTTCACGGTAAATGACAGTATTTTTTTTTCATGCATGACCGGGTGTTAACCATATTTTCTACTGATTGAGAGGAAATACTGCAGTATATTGACTTAGAATGCCCTATTTTACTGTCATGATGAGTGAATATTGTCAAAAAATACCACACTAAATAGTGACTAAACACGACCCCTTTTAATACGTTAACCAGGAGTCACTCTCATTTATAATCGCGGCATCGTCTGATAAAATCTACATGCATGTACACTAAAGAGTGGCTATGGGGGTGTTTTGGCTATATTACTTTTTTGTCTCATGCAGCGCTGCCTGCGTCTGAGTAACAAACTAAAAAAAAACAAGCAAAAAAGTGCATGTGATAAAGTGCATGTGATATTAACAGACGAACTACTCTCATATTTATAATTCCAAACAATCAGTAAGCGACAGGTGCTAGGAAACGCTGTTTTGTACTCATTTATTGACGAGTCGGCTGCGGTGCGGCCACCTGAATGTGCAGCTTCTCTGCCGCTCACTGCACAGAACAGACGCCGAGAGAGGTGACACTTCTGCGGGAAAGTCAGACCTCATGCTCGCGGGACAGTACTGGTGAAATCTTCCAACTGAACCATAGCTAAGGTTTATCAAAAAAAGTCGCTAGGTTTGTCAGTATGAATATTCTATGGAAAAAATTCGATAAAAGGGTCTGAAAGTTGCTAAATCTAGTGCTAAATTCGCGCTTGTGTGCGAGATGTGGGAGCTGATGGCAGGGGGCGGTGGATATTTGTGGCGGATTTGTCAATGCGGATATTGTGGATGAGTTCTTCTGTCATCATGTTCTGTTAGTTCTACAGCTTCAGTTTCTGAACTTTCACGCTTAGTAACACATACAGCTGTGCCCTCACCACAGTGCAACAGTGAAAAGGGACCCCTTTCAAACAGTGATGCATTCCGAACGTTGTTTAAGGGACATACACCGGTATTGCGGTATTTAAAAAATTCATATCATAACAAAAATAAACACCGGTATGCGGTATGAACCTATATATCGCCCAGCACTAGCAAATAAACACAAGAGTAAGGTATTGAATTGTTCCTAAGACAAAAAATTGAATTTAGGTCAGTACTGGTTTTGCTATATTTGTGCAGATGTGAGGGTTTGTCAGACTTACTTGTCAGGTGTATGAGTATGAGCAGTTTGTTTCTGTATGAGAAAACAGCAGAGACGGCTGGGAATGTAATACAGACCTCACATTTTTATAGTTAATTTTTAGCAAGATCCCCCTCAAATAGAACCGCTGGCAGCAGCCAGGGGATTTTGGGTACTTTCTTGCTCAAATAGCAAATTCAGCCATCGGAAAAAAAAACAAATGAAACTAACTTTAAACCGCAGTCCTCAAACAAACCCCTTTAAAGCTCATGTCGCTGGAGCTCCTTCAGCTTAAAGCTTTGAACAGACCATTTAACTAAGAGTTTATGGAGCATTACGTGTTAGAAATGTTATGTTTGAGTGTTGAAACTTGTATGGCGTTACTATTTCAAGTCTACAGGATGTGCTTCAATGAATGCATTGTTTTATCTTGAAGTTAATTGCTAGATTTTATTTTGAAAGATGCTTTTCTAGCATGCAGTGCCATTTAGGTTGAGCAGATATCTCAATGAGTGCACAGTCCTACAGCCAGATGGCCCGTGTCAGATGATGACCTCTGACCCGGGATATAAGATGAAGAATTTTGAGAGGGTTAATCATGGCTAGTTTGAACAAAAACGACTTCAGATCTGGTCTGAATTTATGAATGAGTTTATTTATATGAATGTCTTCACTGCTGGCTCCAGATTTATAGTCTTTCATGAATGAACGCCTGGTTTCTTCGTACAGCAGTTTCCACAGCGGAACTAGTAGAGCCTGTAAATGACATTTAGATCTTTCTCAGAGTGCTAATAAACGGTTTTGCTCTTTCTTTTGTGTTTTTTAGGGTGCCGGACAGGACAAACTTGGTATTTACATCAAGTCTGTTGTCAAAGGAGGTGCGGCAGACATAGTGAGTTTGGCTTGGTTTGTTTTGTGATGTTCTTTATGGGCAAATGCAGATGCTATTTCTTCAGAAATCACTAAGTGTGATTTCTCATACTTAACTAGTGTTATTGATAATACTCTGTACTATATTTGTAGTTGAAGCTGTAAAATCATAAATCATGCTTTTTTTTCTTCATAAAAAGTAAAAATCTTGTTCAACCATGCTGTTTTATGACTGTTTGAGTCTTGTTTTCTTTTTAGGATGGGCGTCTGGCTGCCGGAGACCAGTTGCTCAGCGTGGATGGAAGAAGTCTGGTTGGCCTCTCGCAGGAGAGGTAATTCTGTAGCATTTAGACCTTTAATAATGGGATTTTAAAAAAATTTGAAATGGACTTACAGGTAAAGCATGCAATATCCGGCTATGTCAAAGAAGACCGTTAAATAAACAAAAGGATTGCATGCTAGAACCATTTCATTACACCACATAAGCAAGGAATGTGTCCTAATATACACAATTAAGTGGCGTAAGAACAAAATATGACTGACGTCTTTAGAACATCGTCAGGCAAAATGACACTAAAATGTGACCCTGGACAATAAAACCAGTCATAAGGATCAATTCTCTGAATAAATAAGCTTTCCATTGATGTATGTTTTGTTAGGATAGGACCATATTTGGCCGAGATACAACTATTTGAAAATCTGGAATCTGAGGGTGCAAAAAAATCAAAATATTGAGAAAATCGCCTTTAAAGTTGTCCAAATGAAGTTCTTAGCAATGCATATTACGTTGCAAATATATTAAGTTTTAATATATTTACAGTAGGAAAATTACAAAATATCTTCATGGAACATGATCTTTACTTAATATCCTAATTATTTTTGGCATAAAAGAAAAATCAATAATTTTGACCCATACAATGTATTTTTGGCTATTGCTACAAATGTACCCCAGCGACTTAAGACTGGTTTTGTGGTCCAGGGTCACAAATGTAACATTCAAATAAGTTCTGGGTCTCATTTTTGGGATTATTTAGTTATTTGGCATGATGAATGACATATACATTTTTTTATATGCTTTTACAAAAAAAATGCACTCTTTAAAATAAGAAATTCTACTGAAAAGTGATGAAAATTGCCCTTTCATTGAGAATTAAAATGTCTGACAGTGGTTTGTCTTGTAATTATCCTAGATTTGACTTGAAAGCGTTATTATTCCTAGTTCAACATTTTCAGGCATTAAGCTGTGCAGCACAAAGCACCTTTTGTTTGCAAAGTCAAAACGGCTTAAAAAAATTTATAATTTCTGTCAGAAAAATTGCATTAATGCCTGTAGTTTTGAGATGTGGTGGAATTGATGAAACTCTTAAATCTGTGGATTTGAGTTAAATGAGAAGCATATGGCTCAAAACACAACTGGATGCAAATGGACACAACTTGAGTTGCCTTTGGGATTCATGATCTTTACTTAATATCCTAATGATTTTTGGCATAACATTTTTTGATTACTATTTAAAATATTTAATTTTATATACTATTTTTTATTTTATATACTAATAAAATATTGTATTATTTAAAAATGTAAAAAAAATTTATTACGTTTTATCACGTCTTTAATTGATCTGTCTTATAGGGCGGCGGAATTGATGACACGAACCGGCTCTGTTGTAACGCTCGAGGTGGCCAAACAGGGAGCCATTTACCACGGCCTGGCCACGCTCCTCAACCAGCCATCCCCCATGATGAACCGCGGTAAGCAACTGCGGCATGAATATTTATTTAAATCTCTAATGGGCTTGCATGTGGGAGCTGCAGTATTCTGCTTAAAAAATATCAGCGACTGCCGCACAGCATGCTAGCGTGACTAATTCCTAAAAGAGGTGGAAATGTGGTGGATCTGGCACCCGTGATAAGCTACTACTAAATATTGTAGAAACTTAATTTGCTGTAAAGTTGCTTTGCAATGATTTGTATCGTGAAAAGCGCTGTACAAATAAACTTGACTTGACTTGACTTGACTTGATAAAAGTCGATAATTTTGACCCATACAATGTTTTTTTGGCTATTGCTAAAAATATACCCCAGCGACTTAAGACTGGTTTTGTGGTTCAGGGTCACATTTGTCAGTGTGGTTCATTTTAAAGTGGTGACATTATATTAACGTAGGGCTGGACGATATAACAAAAAAATGTATCAACGATATAATGTTTCATATCGTTCGGTATCGATAATTATTGACATTTTTTATAACCTTTTTTAAAACAAAGAGCAATAGAAAAAAAATTCTAATTTAACCACTGTATTTTTAAATTAACCCAATTTATTGAGACAAACAACAAATATTTTTTGTTTAAACCGTTAAACACACAATTAAAATATCTAATTTCTAATGTTTTATGTGCAGATTAAATGGGTCTCAAGGAATCTTTTGTCTTGTCTCCTGAGGCCACAGGAGGGCGCAATGAGCAAAATAATGCTGCACATTTAAATTGTCAATGCAAGGAAATAACTGTCTATAAAAAAAATGTGCATTACGTCTAAATTAACTCATATAAATCAAATATAATTTCGTAAATTGCATAAACATTTATGAACAAAACAGCATCACGTATTTATGCATTGCTTAATCCAAAGAGCCGAAGCGCCGTTCACACAGATTGCTTTTAAAAACATATGAGACGCAGTGAAAAGGAATAAATCTCCACAAACGTTTTTTCTAAAAGTTTAAACTGTTTTAACTTTGCATGGCTTTCTATACATCTCTTGTGTGAGACGCGAGTGCAGCAGTCATATTTGTCCATCTAAAAAGTGAGCTGAATATGCATCTGTTTCGGTTTTAACCCATTCAAGATCTTCTGTGCTTTGAGCTTCTATATTTCTCGAATATTTTGAATGCATAACACAGTAGAAACTTAATTTGCTGTAAAGTTGCTTTGCAATGATTTGTATCGTGAAAAGCGCTGTACAAATAAACTTGACTTGACTTGACTTGACTTGATAAAAGTCGATAATTTTGACCCATACAATGTTTTTTTGGCTATTGCTAAAAATATACCCCAGCGACTTAAGACTGGTTTTGTGGTTCAGGGTCACATTTGTCAGTGTGGTTCATTTTAAAGTGGTGACATTATATTAACGTAGGGCTGGACGATATAACAAAAAAATGTATCAACGATATAATGTTTCATATCGTTCGGTATCGATAATTATTGACATTTTTTATAACCTTTTTTAAAACAAAGAGCAATAGAAAAAAAATTCTAATTTAACCACTGTATTTTTAAATTAACCCAATTTATTGAGACAAACAACAAATATTTTTTGTTTAAACCGTTAAACACACAATTAAAATATCTAATTTCTAATGTTTTATGTGCAGATTAAATGGGTCTCAAGGAATCTTTTGTCTTGTCTCCTGAGGCCACAGGAGGGCGCAATGAGCAAAATAATGCTGCACATTTAAATTGTCAATGCAAGGAAATAACTGTCTATAAAAAAAATGTGCATTACGTCTAAATTAACTCATATAAATCAAATATAATTTCGTAAATTGCATAAACATTTATGAACAAAACAGCATCACGTATTTATGCATTGCTTAATCCAAAGAGCCGAAGCGCCGTTCACACAGATTGCTTTTAAAAACATATGAGACGCAGTGAAAAGGAATAAATCTCCACAAACGTTTTTTCTAAAAGTTTAAACTGTTTTAACTTTGCATGGCTTTCTATACATCTCTTGTGTGAGACGCGAGTGCAGCAGTCATATTTGTCCATCTAAAAAGTGAGCTGAATATGCATCTGTTTCGGTTTTAACCCATTCAAGATCTTCTGTGCTTTGAGCTTCTATATTTCTCGAATATTTTGAATGCATAACACAGTAGCGGCGCGTCTCGTGGGCTAGACAAACAAAACATTAAAATTCAACAACGTCACTTACATCATCACCACATCTCACGCGCCACTGATGATGCTCCCTGATGCACACCTAACATATTCAAATGCACATGTTTATTTTAAATTCGACTAATATGTATTTTTTTTATTCACAATCTCTTCATCACAGGCAGGCACAGCACTCAATTCAGCATGTGTTCGTGTTTGTGTGTGTGCTGTCTGCGTCACTCATAGCACGTGCCTATATCGTGAGCTATATCGAACATTTTTATATCGTTATCGAAGAAGGTGTACCGTCAATAAATATCGATACCATTATATTGCCCAGGCCTATATTAACGTGTACTATTTTTTTTTCCTCAAAGACCAGGCCCAGAGTCCAGGCGGGAAGCCTGTTTACCCAGGAGCCCCAGGAAAGATCACTTCGGTCTCGACGGGTAACCTCTGCCCTGATGTGAGTACACACAATCATCGGCACCTCTAAGATGAATGTTGCACTTGTGTGCCGAAACTCTCTTTCCCTAGTGAATTAAGAGTGTTTCTAGCACTGCTCTTTAGCAACACTGGCATTGGATCTACAGTGCAACCTGTGTCGTCTAAACCTCTGGTTTTAATCAAATCACCAGAAACTCTCAAATCCAAACACACACCAGAACATGTTTTTTTCTTTCTGAAACCACAGCCAAATAGAAGCCTAATAAAAACCTGATTTGTGACTCTTTGTTGTGTTCTTGTTGTAATTAATCCTAATCATGTCTGTAACCACCATCTGATTGGCTAGTCAGTCTTTGATCCACATTCCTTGATTCTCTTTGATTTATACACATGCTGTTCATGCAAACTCTTATACTAGTTTCTGTAATCAATAATAATGCACTATAAAGAGATGGAAAATGAATCTAGACTGCTCACAGCTCAGTCTAATCTGTCTTTACCCTGTTTGTCCCACAGGAGGAGCCCTCTCCACCCCATCCAGAGGCGTATCCCATCCCCACTCAGACATACCCAAGGGAATACTTCACCTTCCCAGCCTCCAAATCTCAGGATAGAATGGGCCCTGGCCAGCCCTGGCAAAACAATGAACCGGAGCCTCTCCCACCTATGGATAACCACTCAAACAACAGCATGGCTATACAGGTTAGCCTTTTTAGGAAGAGAAAGCATATGAGTGCTGTGTGGTGTCCTGGTGCCATAGTGGTATCATGACTCAAAACACTGGCAGTACCACAGTATTTTTCAACACTAGCACACTAACTGTACATTATTTAGTGTTTGTTTGTTTATTTATTTATTGGTAAGATAATGTATAGTATCCTATATTGTTATAATGAACACTACCATTTAAAAAATTGAGATCAGTAAGATTATTTTGAAAGATATTAATACTTGTATTCAGCAAGGATGCACTAAATTGATCAAAAGTGACAGTAAAGACCTTTATAATGTTACAAAAGGTTTATATTTCATATAAATGCTGCTCTTTTGAAGTTTATATTCATCAAAGAATCTCAAAAACATGAATCATGAATCTTGAAAATATACTGAAGACTGAAGGAAAGGCTGCTGAAAATTCAGCTTAGCATCATAGGAGTAAATTAAAATAGAAAACAGTTGCTTTAAATTGTAATATTTCACAATATTAAATTTTTTACTATATTTTTGATCAAGTAAATGCAGCCTAAGATTAGCACGTCGTAAGCCTAAAATACTTCTTTTAAGAACATCAAAAAAAGAAAAAGAAAACTACAACTGCAAGCTTTTTTATCTGTAGTGTATATTGTTGCTTTCTAATATGCTTTGCCAAAATGACAGTATAAAAATCAGTTATTGTTTGTTTAAAAATCAGTTATCAGTCATTTTTTCCCCAGATTTATTTATTTTATTTTATTTTTTTATTTAGTTTAATTTTTTTAATTTAGTTTAATTTTGCATTATCTAACTAGTAACTTAAATTATATTAAGCATACCTAAGGACAGCATCCTTTAAATGTGCTTTTCAAATGAAAAAAAAAATTTCTAACATTTTGTCATTTGAGATTATAAAATTTATCATTTATTTTTCTAGTTTTACTTTGGTATATCTATTAAATTTGGGCCTACTTTTTCATGTGTAATTCCTATGTAGGCCCAATTTAAATTGGTCTGCAAAACAAATTTTATGCATTACTTTACTAGCTTTTTAAGGCTATGAGCAACATTAATGTTACATGTATATCACATTTTTGCATAAATATGAGTCTCACTGCTGTGTCATTGTGTCCTGCTAGCGGGTGGCGCGCTCTCAGGAGGAGCTGTGCGAGATGCCGGGCGGGTACCCAGGTGAACGCCTGCACCAGGAAGACCTGATGCACCTGCAGCAGCAGCAGCGTGATGCCGAGTACCAACGAGGCAGTGGGGAGCACTGGAACCACCAGATGTCCTCCTCGGTGGAGTCCAGCACCTCCAGCCAAGAGCACCTCAACTACTCGTCGTCTTCCGGCTCCAGGATCCAAGGCAACCACAAGAGCGGCCCTGGCCGCTGGAAGACCCCGATAGCACCCCACTCCGGCCCCGTGTGTGTCTCCCAACCTTCCCGTTCAGATCTTCCACCTCCTCCTCCTCCTCCTCCTGCGCACTACGACTACGAGCCACAAACCGACCTGCCGCTTCCTCCACCGCCCTCTATTACACAGCAACAGGCAGCGGCCGCTGCGGCCACGGTTGAACGCAAGAAACGCGAGGAGCAACAGCGCTGGTATGAGAAGGAAAAAGCCCGGCTTGAAGAGGAGCGAGAGAGGAAGAGAAGAGACCAGGAGAGGAAGCTGGTGCAGATTCGCAACCCTCCCGGCCCAGTCATGCACAACAACCAGCACGGCCCATTGCCACCTGCCCCTCAGTACCAACAGATGCCCCATCCACAGCCCCCCATGCAGGTGCCCCAACCATACCTTCCCCCAGTCCAGCTGCCCCAACCGCCACAGCCACAACCCGCCCGACCAGACAAGCTAAACAGCCTTCCCCGCCAGCCGCCACAGGACACAGTAATTCGTGACCTCTTGCCCCAGCAGCAGCCACGCACCATCGAAAGACGTGACCTGCAATACCTCACCATCAGCAAAGAGGAGCTGTCCGCCAGTGACAGCCTATCGCCCGACCCCTGGAAGAGGGACGCCCGAGAGAAACTGGAGAAGCAGCAGCAGCTTCACATCGTGGACCTTCTAGACAAGGAGATCCAGGAGCTTCAGGCCAAACCTGAACGCACGGCTGAGGAGAACGACCGTCTGATCAATCTGCCTCGTCCAGATCAGTACATCTCTCCTGATCTCATCTGCCATATAAAATGAAATAGTAATTTAACTTCTAAAATAAATCAGCGGTGGAATCATTTCTGACCTACAGCTACTGGCTAAGCAACATCTTAGGATCAGAATCAGGAGCATTTGAAATGTGCTAACAGTTTCTAACAAGACATGACCATATTTTTTTTTTACATGCAAGGCCTTTTCAGGCACATATTAAGTCTCGTGAAGAATTAATACTTGATTTAACATTGATTTTGGTAGTAACTAGGGTTGGGTGATACAAAAATATGTAAATACAATTAATGACTTTTTTAAAATAATCACATTTTATTTCTATAGCACATTTATTAAAATGAAAACAAAAGCAGGCACATCACTGAATATTGTAATAACACAAAAATATTGATAATGAAAAAGTCACACACCCAGCACACCTAGACTCCAAAAATACATACAAATTCAAAAATTAAATATAAAAATGTATTTTATTGCACATTTGTTGAAATAATAAAATTAAAAACATATTAACAAATATTTTTTTATATTTTAGAAAATGTGTGTGTGTGTGTATATATATATATATATATATATATATATAGCACCAATATACATAAAAAAAAAAAAATATATATATATATATATATATATATAAAAAACTTTTTAATGTGTGTGTGTGTGTGTATATATATATATATATATATATATATAGCACCAATATACATAAAAAAAAAAAAATATATATATATATATATATATATATCGAATAACCTTTTAATAATATATTTTATAAAACTTAACATTTTTGAGTGATGACTAACAAATCATTGAAATGTACCTTTCAAATTAACTGATTTGGGATTTTAAAAATTTAACTTTTTTAGGATGCATAATGGCTAAATGTGTTAAATATTCAAATTTGCCAATTGATTTAATATCTCCAAAAATGTAATGATGTAAAATAAATATTAGATATATCATCAAGCCCTTTTAGTTACTAAAGGCTTAATCTGTGTCCAGAAAACAGCCTGCAATAAGCCTCTAATGTCAAAACATGCGAGTTTAGTGCAGTTTAATTCAGGCTCTTGACTTCTTGGTGGGCTGGCGTGTGTGCAGCATTTCCAAACAGCTTCCTTGTGCTTTCCAAGTCTGAGTCTTTCAGTGCTAGCACAAACTTCAGCCCCCAATAACGTTCTTTCCTCCAACACCTGCCGTAGCAGCTGTCATGCGAAGCATAGCGTCCACCTGAGAGTCTGCTGTGTGTAGCACACTGCTGGAAGCTGCCTTTGATATCACTCCATCTCTGAGGAGTTGGCAGGTCGAGCCGTCTAAGGGAAGGTCAACACAATCCCGTGTGTTTGAAGGAAAAATCTTGCCGTGGGGTGGGGACGTGGAATGATGGGGAAATTCCTCACCAGCTGAAGTGTTTGTGGAAGGGAAGTGGACCGCTGGCGCTAATCAGACCCATACTGCCCTGGAATGTTCCTGGCAGCACATCACTGCGTCCCGGCCCACTGCGCCAATGATTTTTTATTTTTTTTTTACTTTTATCTTCTCAAAAACCCCTCCTTTTCTTTATTTCTTAATTACTTTTTATTCTCTCTCTCCCAACCCTTTGGTTGCTCTGTATGTTTTTGTTTCTCCTGCAGCAGACTGCTGTTCCAGCAATCTCTGTACTAGACTTGGTATGTTCTTTATGCTCTTTGCCTCTCTTCCTGTTTCGGCTCCACCTGTGTCTCCTCTTGTTCACTACCTCCCTTTCTTCATTTGGCCGTGGTAGCTCCTTTACCCATGGGTATTATTTAGAGAGAGATGTACCACTTTTTCAAGCATGGGACACCATCTTGGGGACTCCATCTCGGGATGTTCATTATGCTCCACTGGAAAACTGCTGCGTTAGAACAATATCTAAACGTAAAGATGAGCTGAATGGATCTGTAAGGAAAGGCATCACAGAAAATAAATTTTTAAAGCTGAAGTTTGTCCTTTCTAAGCCAGTGTCACCAAATGGAATAAATAGTTTCCATCTTCCATTAGTCAAGCGAACAGTTAGTCCTGACCTCAAGCTCATGCCATTGGTTGAGGTTGAAAAAAATGATACTTTCTAGAGAAATGAGCCTACATACAAGTAATTATTTTTCATTGTTAAAATAATTAAGATGATTAAATATTGAGATAACTAAAAATAATTTAGACTCATCTCTTTATCTTAAATTATTTAAATAATTATTCTTAATTATAAAATAAGACGATGAAAATAATTTAGTCACCCCTCATTTTCTTAAAAAAATTGTTTAAATACTTACATTTAAATTATCTTAATTATTTAAATAATTAAGATAGTTAAGTATTAAGATATTTAAAATCATTTTGATTCATCCCTTATATGGTTTATGTATTTATATATTTATTTAAAAAGCAAAAATCTGGGTTTCAGTGATGTGTTTACAATAGAAATGAATGGTTCCATGCATTTCCAAACAGCTTCCTTGTGCTTTCCAAGTCTGAGTCTTTCAGTGCTAGCACAAACTTCAGCCCCCAATAACGTTCTTTCCTCCAACACCTGCCGTAGCAGCTGTCATGCGAAGCATAGCGTCCACCTGAGAGTCTGCTGTGTGTAGCACACTGCTGGAAGCTGCCTTTGATATCACTCCATCTCTGAGGAGTTGGCAGGTCGAGCCGTCTAAGGGAAGGTCAACACAATCCCGTGTGTTTGAAGGAAAAATCTTGCCGTGGGGTGGGGACGTGGAATGATGGGGAAATTCCTCACCAGCTGAAGTGTTTGTGGAAGGGAAGTGGACCGCTGGCGCTAATCAGACCCATACTGCCCTGGAATGTTCCTGGCAGCACATCACTGCGTCCCGGCCCACTGCGCCAATGATTTTTTATTTTTTTTTACTTTTATCTTCTCAAAAACCCCTCCTTTTCTTTATTTCTTAATTACTTTTTATTCTCTCTCTCCCAACCCTTTGGTTGCTCTGTATGTTTTTGTTTCTCCTGCAGCAGACTGCTGTTCCAGCAATCTCTGTACTAGACTTGGTATGTTCTTTATGCTCTTTGCCTCTCTTCCTGTTTCGGCTCCACCTGTGTCTCCTCTTGTTCACTACCTCCCTTTCTTCATTTGGCCGTGGTAGCTCCTTTACCCATGGGTATTATTTAGAGAGAGATGTACCACTTTTTCAAGCATGGGACACCATCTTGGGGACTCCATCTCGGGATGTTCATTATGCTCCACTGGAAAACTGCTGCGTTAGAACAATATCTAAACGTAAAGATGAGCTGAATGGATCTGTAAGGAAAGGCATCACAGAAAATAAATTTTTAAAGCTGAAGTTTGTCCTTTCTAAGCCAGTGTCACCAAATGGAATAAATAGTTTCCATCTTCCATTAGTCAAGCGAACAGTTAGTCCTGACCTCAAGCTCATGCCATTGGTTGAGGTTGAAAAAAATGATACTTTCTAGAGAAATGAGCCTACATACAAGTAATTATTTTTCATTGTTAAAATAATTAAGATGATTAAATATTGAGATAACTAAAAATAATTTAGACTCATCTCTTTATCTTAAATTATTTAAATAATTATTCTTAATTATAAAATAAGACGATGAAAATAATTTAGTCACCCCTCATTTTCTTAAAAAAATTGTTTAAATACTTACATTTAAATTATCTTAATTATTTAAATAATTAAGATAGTTAAGTATTAAGATATTTAAAATCATTTTGATTCATCCCTTATATGGTTTATGTATTTATATATTTATTTAAAAAAAAATCTGGGTTTCAGTGATGTGTTTACAATAGAAATGAATGGTTCCATTTTATATGAATGCTGGTTAAAAGCAGGAATATTAAGCTTATAGTTTAATAAGGTGACTTCATTTCCTAAGTTAAAACTTCTGTATTATTTGATTTGTAAAGTTGTTCTTTTCATTTTTATGATCACTTTCGGGTTCATGGAGTTGTTTTCATGGTAACAAAATTGTAAAATTGGATATAAATTAACAAAAAAAGGTAAAAAAATTTTTTTCCAGCATTTTAACGCCCATTCACTTCTATTTTAAATGTCTCACTGTAACCCAGGTTTTTGAAATAGAACTAGTTAAAACTAATTTTAGTGATACTCGGCATTATGCCATGAATGCTGTATTTATTATTCCTTTAATATATATATATATATATATATATATATATATATATATATATATATAAACACTTCAGCTTTAAATGTGCACAGGACAGCGACCTTGTGAATATGAACATTTGCTCCTAGAAAACCAGCAAATGCAAGCTTTGGAAGCTCTTTTTCTTCTTGGGGAACATGATGAAGCTATGCTGGTTTGGCAGCCGTTGTTTCAGTGCAGTGTCATCATGAGGGGTGGGTTGGCGCATGCTTTCTTCCAACCCGGTCTCTCCGGCCCTGAGCTTGCTTGCATGTGGGCCTCATTTCTGTGCCATGATCACCATTCCGGTTTCTTCATCTACTCCACTCATCACTGCTCTCTGCGTGTCTGTATTGACCCTGGCCCTTTGCCGCTCATTTACTCTGCGTTTCTCCATGGTTTTCTGTGCTGGGTTTCCTCTTCCCCTATCCTGACTACTGGACACGTCTCTGTTTATGTCTGCTTCCTTCTGATTTTGGAGGGAAAAGGTGTATGGCCGTGCTTTGTATTTCCTTACCTGTCGAGAATTGTATATGTATTGTGAATGAAGTTTGATCGAGGTGTTTGGATTACCTTTTGAATGATTTTCTGTAGACGTGAAGAAGGTTGCAAGTTGCAATTCTGTCAGTAAGTTTGTTTTGCATGCAGCTGTGTATGTGCATGTGATTCTGTGTGTGATGGTGTGCAGTGCACGATGCCTCTCATCACAGGGGCCACATTGACAAATTTACTGGTGTGATAGAAACTCAACAGAACACATTTTTACAAATCACCACAGCAGGCTAGTTTGAATAAGATTTTGTACCAGAAAGACTTACAGTCCTCAGGTTGGCCATTGAAAATTGTTTCCTAATCTAGTCTAATCTAGGTAACCATTTTAAATTCAAACATTAAATTAAATATGTAATTTTTTATTTTTTTTTTATGTAATATTGGGTTTAATGTTAGGTTTGAATATAAGTTTATAAGTTAACATTCATGTTGTGTTACTCTACTGTTCAAAAGTTTTGGGTTTGTAATTTTTGTTTTTGAAAGAAGTTACTTATGTTTATGTTTGATCAAAAAAACAGTAAAAACATCAATATTGTGGAATATTATTTACATTGAATTTAAATTATATTTTAATATCATTTCAAATTTAATTTATTCCTGTGATGGTAAAGCTGAATTTTCAGGAACATCACTTTCTTTAGTGTCACATGATCCTTCAGAAATCCTTCTGTCATTCAGAAATGATTTGGTGAATAAGAAACATTTATTATTAATGTTGAAAACAGTTGTGCTGCTTAATGTTTGTGTCGAAACCGCTATATTTTTTCAGGATACTTTGAATAGAAAGTTCAAAAGAACAGCATTTATTTGAAGAATATAACTATTTTGTAACAATAAAAAAAATCTTTATTGACACTTTTGATTAATTTAATGCATCCCTGCTTAACAAAAGTATTCATTTGTAAAAAATAAAACAAAATCTTACAGACCCCAAACTTTTGAATGGAAGTGTAAGTTTACGTTTTTCTGGGTTAGTTTTAAATTTAAGTTTAATATATCAGTAGTTTTACAACTAGGGTTGAAATTGACATCAACATTACTTATTAGAATTCTAACAGTCATAAATTTAATTTAGGATCAGTCATTTATGTTTAGGACCATGAATTGCAGTCAGTCCAATCCATCATCTCTGTGGTCCAGTGTTTTTCGACTAACCCTGGTTATGCATTGTGCACCTCAGCTGCAGGACGAGGAGCGACGACGGAAACAGCAGTTGGAGGAAATCCGTAAGCGTGAGGCAGAAGAGCGAGCCAAACAGGAGGAGGAGAGACGCTGGAGAGAGGAGGAGAGAGCCAGACGAGAGACCGAGGAGAAGGTATTGAGATCGGAACGGACCAGCGACAACTAGGAACTTCTATAAGTAGTTAAATGCAATAAAGATGATTTTGATGACAAAGGACTTAGTCAAGAAATACATTTTTGTGTAATATGCAAATTGCAGATACGTTTTAGCACACTTCTTATGAGATGCAGATTATCTTCTCCTTTTTTTGCCCACTCAGCCAGGTCTTAAATGCAAGTCACGACAACAGCAGGTAGATTTTTATGTCCCAGACCTGTTCTCTTGCTATTGATTAGTCAGGTTAATTATAGTGAGATCTTGCTTTTGTTTTGGGGCAAATCCCCAAACAATATCTGTACCCATATACAGTAAATTGATTTTTGGCATAATTTCCTGATAGAGGCGTATGTGATCAGCCTTGTTTATTCATGCTAACGTCAAGCTTTTTCAAGGTTTCACCCGATTTCCGTGTGGATGGTAAGTGGGTGTGATTGGAGACAGGAGCTGATATTTAATGTGTCAGACTGTACAAGATCACAGCCCCGTGCCTCACTGTAACCCAGGTTTTTGAAACAGAGGGACAAGTTGAAATAAGTTTTAGAGGTACTCAGCATTATTCCACAAATGCTGCCGATTGAGTTTAGCCTGTATTTATTATTCATTTAACATTAAAAGAAATTACACACTTCAGCTTTAAATGTGCACAGGACAGCGACCTTGTGTCTGGTAGCTTAGACAAGAACATTTGCACCTAGAAAACCACCAAATTCATTCTAAAGAACAGTTTGGAAGCTCTCTTTCTTTTTTGGAGTACATGAAGAAGCTCTGCTGATTTCGGCAGCCGTTGTTTCAGTGCAGTTTCATCATGAGGGTGGGTTGGCGCATGTTTTCTTCCAGCCCGGTCTCTCCGGCCCTGAGCTTGCTTGCATGTGGGCCTCATTTCTGTGCCATGATCACCATTCCGGTTTCTTCATCTACTCCACTCATCACTGCTCTCTGCGTGTCTGTATTGACCCTGGCCCTTTGCCGCTCATTTACTCTGCGTTTCTCCATGGTTTTCTGTGCTGGGTTTCCTCTTCCCCTATCCTGACTACTGGACACGTCTCTGTTTATGTCTGCTTCCTTCTGATTTTGGAGGGAAAAGGTGTATGGCCGTGCTTTGTATTTCCTTACCTGTCGAGAATTGTATATGTATTGTGAATGAAGTTTGATCGAGGTGTTTGGATTACCTTTTGAATGATTTTCTGTAGACGTGAAGAAGGTTGCAAGTTGCAATTCTGTCAGTAAGTTTGTTTTGCATGCAGCTGTGTATGTGCATGTGATTCTGTGTGTGATGGTGTGCAGTGCACGATGCCTCTCATCACAGGGGCCACATTGACAAATTTACTGGTGTGATAGAAACTCAACAGAACACATTTTTACAAATCACCACAGCAGGCTAGTTTGAATAAGATTTTGTACCAGAAAGACTTACAGTCCTCAGGTTGGCCATTGAAAATTGTTTCCTAATCTAGTCTAATCTAGGTAACCATTTTAAATTCAAACATTAAATTAAATATGTAATTTTTTATTTTTTTTTTATGTAATATTGGGTTTAATGTTAGGTTTGAATATAAGTTTATAAGTTAACATTCATGTTGTGTTACTCTACTGTTCAAAAGTTTTGGGTTTGTAATTTTTGTTTTTGAAAGAAGTTACTTATGTTTATGTTTGATCAAAAAAACAGTAAAAACATCAATATTGTGGAATATTATTTACATTGAATTTAAATTATATTTTAATATCATTTCAAATTTAATTTATTCCTGTGATGGTAAAGCTGAATTTTCAGGAACATCACTTTCTTTAGTGTCACATGATCCTTCAGAAATCCTTCTGTCATTCAGAAATGATTTGGTGAATAAGAAACATTTATTATTAATGTTGAAAACAGTTGTGCTGCTTAATGTTTGTGTCGAAACCGCTATATTTTTTCAGGATACTTTGAATAGAAAGTTCAAAAGAACAGCATTTATTTGAAGAATATAACTATTTTGTAACAATAAAAAAAATCTTTATTGACACTTTTGATTAATTTAATGCATCCCTGCTTAACAAAAGTATTCATTTGTAAAAAATAAAACAAAATCTTACAGACCCCAAACTTTTGAATGGAAGTGTAAGTTTACGTTTTTCTGGGTTAGTTTTAAATTTAAGTTTAATATATCAGTAGTTTTACAACTAGGGTTGAAATTGACATCAACATTACTTATTAGAATTCTAACAGTCATAAATTTAATTTAGGATCAGTCATTTATGTTTAGGACCATGAATTGCAGTCAGTCCAATCCATCATCTCTGTGGTCCAGTGTTTTTCGACTAACCCTGGTTATGCATTGTGCACCTCAGCTGCAGGACGAGGAGCGACGACGGAAACAGCAGTTGGAGGAAATCCGTAAGCGTGAGGCAGAAGAGCGAGCCAAACAGGAGGAGGAGAGACGCTGGAGAGAGGAGGAGAGAGCCAGACGAGAGACCGAGGAGAAGGTATTGAGATCGGAACGGACCAGCGACAACTAGGAACTTCTATAAGTAGTTAAATGCAATAAAGATGATTTTGATGACAAAGGACTTAGTCAAGAAATACATTTTTGTGTAATATGCAAATTGCAGATACGTTTTAGCACACTTCTTATGAGATGCAGATTATCTTCTCCTTTTTTTGCCCACTCAGCCAGGTCTTAAATGCAAGTCACGACAACAGCAGGTAGATTTTTATGTCCCAGACCTGTTCTCTTGCTATTGATTAGTCAGGTTAATTATAGTGAGATCTTGCTTTTGTTTTGGGGCAAATCCCCAAACAATATCTGTACCCATATACAGTAAATTGATTTTTGGCATAATTTCCTGATAGAGGCGTATGTGATCAGCCTTGTTTATTCATGCTAACGTCAAGCTTTTTCAAGGTTTCACCCGATTTCCGTGTGGATGGTAAGTGGGTGTGATTGGAGACAGGAGCTGATATTTAATGTGTCAGACTGTACAAGATCACAGCCCCTTGTGCTTAATTTAAAGTAATGTGTATCTATGTATGTGTATATATATATATATATATATATAGTACTGTATGTGCTGATAATAATAAGGTTAACAGCAGTTTTGGAGTTAGTAATGATCCATTAACTGTCAGAGGCTAAATTAAGTTTGTTTAACGCCCATGTGTTAAGACTTTTGGAATGCCTCAGCGGGTCATCAGTTTACCAGTGGTCTGAATTTACATTCATACATCTAAAATGTGACCAAAACATTGTCCCACTATGTGACCATCCAGTTTTATTTTTGTGTCCGTGTCCGTCATTTTCAGACCACTGGTAATTTTAGAGCCCAGTTGTGATGTCCAACTGCATGTCTTCACAACATCTCCTCTCTTGTGTTTGTGATGTACCCCCATCCCCTTCAAAGAAATCACATGTCAGATTTTTAAACGACACTCCAGCATTTTGTTGGGAGACCATTGCCATTCCATACAACATTGCTTGGAAGTGCTGTTGGAAATGGGCCCGCCTTGGGTTTTGTGGAGGCCGTCCCAGATTGAACTAGCTCATGTGTGTTTTGCCTCCACATGCTCTCATAAGAGACATTCCCACCACCGCATACTAACCCAGGGTATCCATGCACAGAGACCAGAGCAGCCAGCCACTGGCTGTTTTTCTCCAAATGCCAAGCAGACCTTCAACTGGAGCTTGTAACAGTAACATACGCTCCAGTTAGCTCCGTTTTATTCCAGTTAGAACAAAGCGTATTTGTCAACTGTAGTGACTTGTTCCTCTTTAGCACCATCTGGTGTGCTTACAGTCGAAGTCTTACACAGTGTTTGCACTGCAAGCAAGCAGCACAGTGCAACTAAACTAGATTGCATGCATACAATTAGCATTTATAAAGAAGGTTTAATCAGTGGATTTAAATCTTCAAAGGAGTTTTTTAGGTGTTTAAACACTATTCTGTATGTAATCTGTACATATTACTTTTTGACGCACAGAAGTTTTTGAGACACTGCCACCATTTTTGTTGTTTTATTTTTCTGTACAAATGGATGCTGACCATACTAATATATTAATTAATATTGATAAATAATATTTATATTAATAAAGATTCTAAATTAAATATTTAATTACATTGGAAATTGTATAGTTTCTCAGTTTTTATAAAATGTTTCATTAAATGTATTTTTTAATGTCATATTTAAAAAAAAAAATCTGACAACAGACTATTTCTGTTATCAACTATTTCAGATGAACTCACCTCTGAATTGAACAGTAAAACAAAAAAAAGTCCCTTTTCATGTCACTCAAAAATGAAATTTCCTATAGAAATGATTGTGGACCATTTAATATATGAATTCATATAATTATATTAATATGATTCATTCATTAATTCATATATTCTATAAATTATAGTAAAATATGAATTTAACATTTTGTAAATATTTAAATGTTTTATTGAATATTCACTTTATCAAACATTTAGATTGCTCACATTTCTTTAAAAAAAAAATAATAATAATAAATGCATTTTAAATTTTAAAACTTTTCTCCCCCCTCGCACAGGCCTGTTTCAGATAAAACCACCCCTGAATGGAATGTGGGGAAAAAAACAAAATGATTGTTTGCTTTTCATGTCATTCAGCCTGACATTTCCTGGCCAGAATAAGCTGCAAAGTGGACTGAATTTGCGAAAACCACTTGCATTATAATCAACAAAACTCTCTATGCTACAAGCGGCACTTCAGTATAGACAGCGCTGTTGATTTCCGTTTAGCTTGCGACGTTGCTTGCTTGCAGTGTAGCCATGTTAAATAAAAACAGTGGCTTACTTTCCCCAACATGCAGGAGTCCTATATTTTATTATTATTTAGTTTTATTTAAAGGTATCAAACTTATTTCATGCAACAATTGCTATCGATTGAGCTTAACTTGTATTGAACCTGGAGTATTCCTTTTAAATAGTAATTAGATTTTTGTTTGTTTGTTTTCCGATCACCTATTCTCCCCGATTCCTCTTCCTCGAATCATCCTAGCGCCGTACAAGCAGTCAGTAGACCTCGTGATTAGCTGTGCGGTCCAAAATCAGTCCAAGTACTGTTGGTGTTGCCAGCCGTTTCATGTGTGTGTGATCTGCTTTGGGGTAGGCCGGGCCTCAGCAGCTAGACGCCTGCCCATCCATTATCAGCTCAGGGAATGAGACACTGGCTTCTTGTCACTTGCAGTGGTGGGCTCAACACTGCACCTCTCCTCAGTCCTGTTTACACTTGGCAAAGGGGAAAAGATCTGTCGGATGAGGCACTTTTTTGTGCTTGACTGTTTAAATCCATCTGAATTGGTTGTACAGCACTGGGACAATAGCAATCTTGGTGCAGACAGTCTCTGAAATTTTTTTTTTGTTTGCCTCCCTCAAGTGTTAATTTTACACGAGTGCAAGTCAAAACTGTGTGGAAAAAATTAGATGTTTTAAAAGTAGATTATTAAAGTACAACACAAGTTTTAACATTAAGTAATATT